TCAGCCCCTCCGTGCCAAGGCTGAAAAGGAATAAAAATAAAAGCTTTCCACGACTCTGGAAATACTATGGGTTGTCTAAACAGAAAAGGCAGCTGGCTCTGTGGCCCTGCGAGCGCAGAGCTCCCTTCTGCCTCAGTTTCCCCTGCGGATGATGGGGGATGCGCATCCCCCTTTCTCCCCTCCCCGCATCCTTGGTTCATACCATGATTGGGGGGCAGGAGCAGCCACCAGCCGTGCCTGGCTCCAGGGCAGGAGCTGCTGGGACCGTCCTGATTTAGGCTGGCTTGTGGCGCTTGCTGGCTCCTCACGCAGTGTCACGTCTCTGGCAAAACCTGAGCGGAAAGGGATTTATGGCTGCGGGCGGGAAGCTGCGGCACTGCGGTGGGGTTTGTGTTCCTCCGCTGCATCTGCACTGGGAGCCAGTGCCGAGGGCGAGCAGCTCACGGGCGTTTTCCATTCCCTAACCCTTCCCTGGCTGCTGCAGCGCCTGGGCTCAGGCACCCGGCTCCTGAGGCTCTTCTCCAGGGGAGATTTGCCCACAGGTTTAATGACCAAAGCAGCAGCTGTGCTCAAAACAGGGGTTATTGCTTGTTTTTCCTCTCTTTTCTTTTAAACACCTGGCTGGAGCAGAGGTCAACTGCTTTTTTGGCTGCATTTCTTACTTGGGAGCGAGTGCAGCTTGTTCTTTCCAGCCTGGCCCTGTCTCTGTCCCTCTGTGCCGGTGAAGCTGCGTGTCCTGGTCCACGGGGGTTTTGCTCCCTAGTTCAAGCAGTGTGAGATGCTCAGGAATGGATGGAGAGGCCAGGCCACGCCTGGGAAGAAGGGACAGGTATTGGGGATGAGCATATCTGCATGGAAGGGATGCAGAACACCTCCTCCTCCTCCTCCTCCTCCTCCTCCTCTCACCTCCCTCCCTCACTGTGTGCTGGGGTGACCCAAGTGACGCGAAAGCCCTCCCTGGCCAACCACCGAGCTGGACCCGCATGTCCTCGTGCCTCCGCAGTGTTTGGGGCTGGGGGCTGCTTTGTTCAAGGGGGGGTTTCAAGCGCCTTCCACGTGTCCCCTCGGCAGCCACGCTCACGGAGCACGTTCCCAGGTGTTTCCAGATGTTTGCTGGAAATGGAAACATGGGCATGGAGCAGGCACGCTCTGCCCCTGCCCTGCGTGCAGCTGGGGGGGGGAGGAATCGCATCATGCAGCATCTCAGCAACATGAGAGCGGGATCCATGCATTACAAAGCAACATACTTTTCCCCTTTGCTCACTTCCCCCCCCCGGAGCTTTGCTCGGAGCCAAGCGTTTCTCCCAGGTTTATGGTGACGCTCTCCCAGCTCTCCGGCTCTTGCGTGCGGAGGCTGCTGTGTGCTCCCTCCAGGGCAGACGGGGGCTGCAGCCCAGAGCTGGGATGGGCGGGAGCCTGCCCCCGGCTCCCGGCAAGGTTTGGGGGAAGCTGAGTTTAATTTTCCAGGCTGGTGGCCACCCAACACCAGTGGCAACATCCTGCGGTGGGGGAGGCATGCAGAGCCCTGGGAGAGCCGTGGCTCCCCCAAAGGGCAGCGCAGCACCCTCCTGTCCCAGTCCCAGGGCAATGGGTCCATCCCAAACCACCAACCATCATTTTGGGGGGACCTCTGGGCTCCCCTTGTCCCTGCTTAGTGGCCCCTTCCCATGACACTGGTGGCTGCCGATGGGGAGCAGGGCTGGCTTGCGAGGTTTTGCTGCCAAATGCCTGAGATTTGACGTTTTGCATAGAGCACATGCTGCTCCGACCAAGCGGCCGCAGGGGCATCTCAGGTTTCCTGCTGCCTTTTTCCCCCCCCCCTTTCTGAAATTAAATTTTTTAGCTCTCTGAAGGGAGTTTTAAGATCTGGCTGTCAGAAAGAACCACTGCGCCATAAATCATCTGTGTTTGTACAGCACCGAGCACAGCGGAGGCTCGGCTTGGGATGGGGTGGCTGATGCTGGGATAACATAAAGAATAAGCATCTCTCTCTGGCCAAAAAACCATTTTAAGCTGCTATTCCTGAGGCGCCCGGGCTGTAGTGTGGGGAAGGTGAGCCTGATTTGAGGACAGCCCTTTGCTCGGCTGTGTTGGAGAAGCCTCCCGCTCTGCTTTGCTCAGCAAAATTCCCCTTCTTGAAACCCCTGGGGCTGGGACCACCAGCTCTTGGTGTGCCGTGACATCCCCCAGGGCTGTCCCCTCCACGTTGCCCCCGGCCAGGGGGAAATGGAGACGCTGCGGTAGCTCGAGCTGCAAACAGCCGAGGAGGCTGCGCTGTTGGAAATCAATGTGACGAGGTTCAGGGTGGGACCTTCTGCCGGAGAAGGGACTGGTTCTTTTAACCGCACCTGATACGAGCCACTCGCACGCACGAGCAGCATGACCTGGTGCATGAGGGGTCTGGCTGGGATGGATGGGGAGGACGGGGAGGATGAGGGATGTGGGTGCTCGCTGTGTCTACTAACGTTTCCCAGCTGGAGACAATGGAGCCACCAGTTATAACAGGTTTTTTTTTTGCTCGCGTCCTCCCCTTAAACCCTCTGCTGCCCCTTGTCCATGTTTCCTCATTCGGGGTGTCTGCATGGCTGCAGTCGACTCCCTGCCGGGATGGCCGGAGTGACCAGGGCCTGGCCGGGTGCCGAAACCTCGCTGTGCCTGATGGGCTGGTGGGACGCAGCCTCCGGGCTCGCTGGGGACCACATTCCTCCGTGTTTACCCGCTCGACGGCTGTCCCTCATGTTGCCCTTGGTCGAGACAGGCCGTTCTCACAGCCCTGGCTCTGTCTCCTGGTGCTTTCATGCTCAAACATTTCCTCTCCTACCTCCGCCAGACCAAAGCGGTATTTCTGTTACAAACCTCTGCAGAACAAACGGGCCATGGCCGGGAAAGGGGATAAACTGAAGGGACGTGGCATCAGGGGACTGGGGATGACCGGGATGCTGCAAGCCCACAGCACGGGCACTGAAACTGTGATCTCCCCAAGCCAACAAGAGCTGTGAGAACAGGTTTGCTCCATGGCCACCCTCCATCGTCCTCTTTGCCTGCAAGAGCGGGGCCAGATTCTGCTCCAGACATAGAATAAACCGAGTGCACGGTGCCCAGAGCCACGTTCAAGGCTGCAGCCTGTTGCCTCTTAAAAATTTAAAAGGACGTCTTTGAAGGTGGATTTGAAACTCGGACACTGAAAGAAATTCCTGCAGGAAGAAAATTCAACAAACAAAGTCCCTTGGCTGAGAGCAAAATTTTTACTCACCAGATTTGCTGAAGGTTTTCGTGCTTCCCAGCAATGGGAGCTGTGTTAACAGCTTCACAGGTCGGACAGCGTGGTGGATAAAGTCTAGTATATGAAACCTTTCCATGCCTGGCATTGCAGGGTGGCTTTTGTGCAAGCAATTGCCCCGTTTGGTGCCTCAGTTTCCCCCTTTCAGTGCCCAGCTGAGTATCTGTCAGTTAGCAGGAAAAAACCCCATGAAACACGTCCCCATGGATTTAGGCACTTTTGACCAAGCAATTGGCATGAATCTCCAAACCTTTCCCTATTGATTCTGATCCTTCTCCAGCTGGCAAACACGTCTCCACCTCGACCCTTTGTTTAAACGATGTGAAATACCGATGTGGTTTCCCTCCATTCCTTCTCCTGGGTTGCACTTGAGCTGCCTGCTGTTTTTTAGGCATCCGAGTGCCCCAGCTCACTGCAGGGTGAGGGCTGTGCCCTCGGACCATCCTGCTCCCGGCAGTCAGCGAGCAGCACTCATCAGCAATACTCCGGTTTTGGGGTAAGGGGAAGGGCACCGTGTTTGGAACAAATATATTTAAGGGTTGCGGGGAGCCCGGGGCAAAATGGGAGTGCAGGATTGGTCCCTCCTGGAGGGCTGCCAGCCTCCGGTAGGGTTTGGACTGGGTTTTCAGTGAGCCAAAGCAGCTCAGGTTTCCTGGCCCCCGCTGCAGATCAGCTTGGCTGGAGAGGGGACGGCTCGTGGGGAGGGAGAGGACCCCCTGAATCCCGCATCCCAGGGATGCCCGGGATGGGGATGTCTGTAGGAGGGAGATCCCCGTGGCTGCTGCGGCCCCCTGGGACTCCTCGATCACACCTGGGCTGTGTCTGAGAGCTGTGAATATGTAACAGGTCCCAGGCTGCCTCTGAGCTCCTTGGAGCAGAAATGTCCACCCTGAGCATCCACGAATGGGCCTGCCCCAGCAGGCACCCGGGAGCCCTGGGCGTCCCTCGGCCGTGTCCCCTCAGCGTACAGCAGTTTTCCAGCCCGGGACCTGGCTGAGGCTCCATGCAAAACTCAGTGGCCCCGTACCCGTGGCCTGCTCGGTTGCACGGCACCGCCGCGACTCCCCTCCTTTCTCTTTATTAAGTGCCATCAGGATGTAAATTAAAGCTTATCACCAGCTGGGAGCGAATGAACCCTGCATCATGTTTTACGGTGCCATCTGCCAGGCAGGAGCAGAGACCCCGGCGCAGGGCTGGCTGCCTTCAGCAGGGATGGGGCGGGGGGCAGCTGGAAGTCACTCTGTGCAGGTGGGGGCCGCGGGTGGGCCAGCCGCCGGGGACAGGCTGGCTGGTGACACACACTGAGTCCCCGTGCTCGGCGCTCCCGTTGCGATTCGGCCGTGTTGCCGGAAAGCGCCACCCCAAACACACGCTCCTGGAACAGGGGCCGTGGCAAGGGAAGGGCTTATTGAAATTATTAATTAGCTTTGTTTTTAAACACGGGCTCCGAGCGGCCTCCGCAGCAGAAGGAATTGTTATTAAACGCCAGCCCTCCGGCAGGCAGGCCATGTGTGCGCAGCAGAGCCCGCAGCGCTTGGCTGCCAGATAAAGACGTTATTGTTGTCATCGTGCCTCCGTCCCAGCCCTCCGCCTCCCGCGCTCCCACCCACCCTCGGCCAGCGGCTCCCAGGAACAAAACCCCCACGCTCGGCCGAGGCTCACTCGTGGCGGAGCCGCGGTGCCGAGAGGAGGAGGAGAAGGAGGAGGAGGAGGAGGAGGAGGGAGACAGCCAGAGAGAAACTTGTCTTGGGGATTAATAGGAGGCAGGAGGAGGGAGAGGTGCACACAGGTAAGCTGTGGGCAGGTGCTTTCCCCCAGGCTTTTCTCGCCTTGCCTGACCCTCCGACCCAGGACGCTGCACTGGTCCACGATGCTCCTGCCCTCTCCAGCCTCCCTTACATGCACAGCAGCATCTGCTCTTCTTTTTTTTTCCCCTCTCGTTGGTTTTTCTGTTCTTCAGCAGCTGGAGTCTTTGTTCCTTCCTTTTTCTCTTTTTGCAAGAGTTTTTCTCGGCATGGGGCAGGCTGGGGTGGAGGGGGGGTACTCGGGGCTGCAAAGTCAGAGGAAAGTCCCGTGTGTGACAGCGTTGCA